TAATGAAGAAGATTAAGGAGCGAAGATATGGTTCGATATAAGACAAATTTAGAAGGAGAAAGGTAGAGATTATGAGGAATGCAAAAGCTTAGAGTTTGAGAGAACACAAAGAGTCGATGCACCTGCGCTATCGCAAACGATTACGAGCCATGTCGTTCAAGGTCTCTAACCACTGGTGACTTTCGTCTCGCGGACCCCAACCAGGTAGCATACATCTACCAACACAACTCAGTCCACTTGTCAGTGACTTCATGGATTTCTGCCATGTTTTAGTTTGGCCGCCCCTAGCTTTCTTCCAACATACTCCTAGACCACAGAACATAGCTCGTCGAGGCAGCCGGTGGTTGGGCATACGTAACACATGTCCCAACCAACTCAAATGATGAAGTTTTAATGCTTCATCTATTGATTTGCCATCCTTACCTATAACTCGTTTCCTAACGATAGCATTGCTTATACGGTTGTCCCATGATACACGAGCAATGCTTCGGATACACCTGTGATCGAATACTAGTAACCTACGAATATCCTCTACTCTTAATGGCCAAGTCTCGCATCCGCACAGTAGGACGGAGCGAACTGATGCATAGTACACTCATTCTTTGGTTAGCAAACGGATATCTCGCCTACGCCATAAGTGACGCAGGTTGACAAAAGCCGATCAACCCTTCTGTATCCGTGCTGAGATTTCGTCAGTCACCAGGCTATCATCACTGATGAGACTCCCAAGATAAGTGAAGCGGTCCACACGTTCGACTACTTCACACCTTATCACTAGTTCAGGTGCCCAACCCAATCTTGAAGCAACATTTTGCATTTCGAGGGTGAGAACCGCATCCCGAACATGCTTGCATTGTTGCTTAGGGTAGTCAGAAGACTCTGCATTTTGTCAGCGTCTTCACCAAGTAGGACAATGTCATCGGTATATTCTAAGTCGACAAGCGAGCCTCCTGGTAAAAGGTCTACTCCTGAAAATTCAGACGAGGATAAGATTATTTCTAAGAGCATGTCTATGATAAAATTAAACAAGAATGGAAGGAGTGGACAGCCCTGACGGGCACCACTTAAGTATGTCTCACTCAACATAAAATGCTTAAACCAATTTAGTGCATAAATACAATCAAAAAGAGACATTCAAATCTTACAAGTGTTATTGTTTGAACCTTGCCACCACCATAACCATGACCAACGACCATTACCAGATGTATTCGATTGACTTGGTTGTTGTTTTTCTTCTGTTTTATACTGATTCGAGATAGATAAATGTTTAATGGTTAATGTTAATCCTGAGGCACGATCTATTCCAGGTAGTCTTAGTTCACATTCAATACGAATACTAACATCACGTAGAACTATACTAGTTTGTGCAATCACTATAAAATGTAATGTAGAAAATAAAAACAACACTCATATAATGTCATATTAAAATAGAAAACAGAATGCTAGTGATATACGCAGCATATTAATCAATAATCATGTACGCATAACGTTTAGAAAATTTACAGCGAATGATTGTGTAATTACTGATGATGGTCAATGCAGAATATTGTTAGCTGAAGTAGACAGTAAGTTTTAAGAGAACTATGCTCAAAAATTGTTGGCAAGCAGATTAAATGGTGTATAAACCATAAATAGCATCATAGTTAAATTTGAGAAATGAATGTAAATTGGAGTAATGTAAATTTGGAGTTTATCAACTTTCGACCCAGCGAATTCTACACCATGCATTATTTGTTAAAGCTGAGATTCGTTTGGAAAAGTGGAAATGGTCAGTGCATGAGATGGTGTTACTGTATGAGAAAACGTAGTACAGGACTGACCTCTGCTGGTTCTTCACAACTCCCTGATTGGGATTTTAAGAGTAGTACAACTCAATGGCTTGAAATGTGATCAGACGGCTCAGAATAGAAGCCAGTGAAGGACCTGTCAAAACTTTATTCCATTTTCTTCACAAAAGTAAAAGTAATTTCTTTAACTCAAATGATTTTTTCTGATTGTATATTTCCCTAAATTGAACTGTTTCTACCG